GCAGCGGTAGATGTGAATATGGGATGCCCGAAGAGCTTCTCGTACGTCGTGTCGAGCCCCTCGGTGGCCACGCCTAACCAGCAGAGACAGCCTTCTGACTGTCAGCATTCGCTGGGACAGTCCATGCAAAAGAGCCTTCCACCCGGTTGCTTCTGCCTTAGCTCTGGGACGCACTAGCGCGTTTGTTTTTATTCGTAGCCCTTTGTTTGTTTGAATCATTTGCTTGGCAGGGTCAAAGGCGGTATGGGAGCGGCTTTGCTCCAAACCCCAGAAGTGGCAATGGATATTCTGAAGACACTCACTCGAAATGTTCCTTTCCCGGTGACGTGTAAAATTCGCCTGTTGGATACAATGGAAGAGGTACGAGATCGAAGCGGCTGCGTTGCTGGGGCCTACCAAACAATCTCCTCCCGCTGCACCTCGTTGCTGCTAGCGCCAGACAATAAGAACTACAAATTGTCCTACACCCGAAAGGGAATTTAGCCCTGGCTTTACAACATGCAGAACACATTCGAACTTCAATGTCCCACTTGTTGTGCTGTGCGGATTCAGACAGTGGACTTTGCACGAAAATGCGAAAGCACTGGGATATCCGCGATTGCAGTTCATGCCAGAGTATGCTGAAAGCGTTATNATGATTTGCCGAGCAGCTTCGACGCTTCATTTGCTTCTACAGAAACGTCACGAACGACCAGCGCATAGGGCAAACTGGCAAGCCTTTCCGGTAAAGCCACCACTTGCATTATTCTATAGGAGTAAAGTCAGTAAAGCTCGAGTTAGCCGCAGCTCTATAGCTCTTGTCCACCGATGCTTCTTGCGCAGTTCGTTGATAAGAGCTCCCACATGGCGTATGCATCAAGTGCAAGATGTTGCTTCTACGAGCGTCGTCGAACAAAACGCAGATTTTTTCGTTGTCCTTCATGCGCAGAAGCTTTGCATTTTTGGTTGAATGGTCTTTGAAACGCATGACGATATTTCGAGGTTCACCTTTTTTCTATCTTGTGCCGACGCAGGTACTGCAAAGTGCGCTAAAAATTCCGCTGATCGCCAATGGGGATTTCTTATCCCCTGAAGATGCAATTCGTTTTCAGGTATGTGCAGCTAGCAATCTCCTGCTTTCTGATGAAATAGAGGAGCATCCTACTCTTGCGTATGAAGTACGGGTGCTAAAATTTCTAGAAAGCTTTTCTGACACTGCCGTGTTCGTTATGACGCTGCAGGAGACATATGGTATAAGGAGCTTGATGTTTGCTAGAGGAGCCATGTGGGATCCGTCCTTATTTGCTCACAAGAAGGCATATGCGACTGGTACTACAGCTGGATGCTCTTTCTCTCGGTCAGCGGTTGTTCAAGACTATATAAAGCGCGTATGCTGCGTTGAGAACCGTCTCTACCCATGCACTCCGCAGGGCTTCTGCGAATGTCTGTAGAACACTGTCCTTGAATGAAGCCTAATGGTTTGTGTGGGCTGCTTAACAGTGAATAGTACGCCGTAGGTTCATTTCGGCGGCATTTGTGTTTGTGTAGGCAGTGCTGTGCGGAGCCCCCTATCAATCGATAAAGTTTACCCTTCAGGAAATGACAGCGCGGGTATGTTCGTGTTAGACTGTGCATTCCCAGCCCCTATATTCGCTTTGGAAGCGTTCACTATTAAGCAGCCCCGTGCAGTGATATGCAGCATGGTCTAGCTATTTGCTTGCTTCATCCCTTCTCACTGCTTTCGTCTCGTAGGATAGTGATCGGGATCTCAAGCTGGATTTGGTTGCGGCGAATTCGACAGCAAAGATTTGCACTGTGTTTGGACTAGATGGCTTCTACAACAGCATCAATCATGTACCACATAGTAATACACTCAACTACTACAAGTATATAGACCTCTAATGGAGCACATCTGTTTCAGGCACTAGCGATGACCTGGCGTCGTTTGTCATCATTTGTAAAGGTTCGACGCACCTGAGGGTGGCGCATCGGAGGATGGGCTTATACAAATCAACAGCGTGGGCCGCCTGTGACGATAATTTTTTGACTCAAGATGTCCAGGGAGCAAATACAGGAACGCAATAATAGCAACTGAACGTTTTTTATGTGCCGATTCAGACAGCGTTGCGAGCTTCAGATTGTTCTCGCATGTCGCCGTCCACATAACGCTCACAGTCCCTTGGATTCCCTATATCCAAGTCAGTGAAGCCCGCATTGCCTGTTTCGTGTATATGCGGTTGACCGTTATCCTCATGATGTAGCGATGCTACGGAGGCACGTTGTGGGCCTTCGTTAAATGGCAGGATGTCAGTCTTGGCGTTTGCCTTGCCTTGGACCAACAGGTGTTCAACGACGTTTATTCGGATTAAAGTGCGTTCCGCTGCATGTGGCATCTCCCGCATCTGTGCTTCTATTGCCAGAGGTATGCACCCTAACGTACAAAGAAAAATTGAGCAGATCGATTTGATCGCACCTATGTGATTGCAAGATGATGACTTCGCTAATGTATCTACTGTAAAGTGCAATAACCTTCTCCACAATCTAAGGCACTGCCCAGCTGTTTCCATCCATAATCCATAAGGTTTGCATACCTTTAGTTGGTGCAACCGGGGTCCCAAATATTGCACCTGTTCGCGAGTCAATCGCCACGCCGGCAGGCAGCTTTCTGAATTCAACCAGCAAAGGCATATGCGTGATAGTCGTTGGCCTAACGCAGCACGCGTACTCAACTCACCAAAGCAACTGCAACGACACAATAACTGCCCTTCTGTTGTGACAGGAGTGTTCTTTGATATGCCGCAATAGCTTACGAAACCGGCTTGAAGTAAAGCTGGTGCGGCCCGTCTACGACGGCCGGAATAGCAAAAAACTTCCCCTTAAGGACGGTGATGCTCGAATTGGGAGCGTAAGAAAAACGATTGGGATAGCGCACTCGGTTCCGCTCTGTGTCAGCATATTCGCAGTTCCTTCCAAAGGTGCCAGGCTTGCAAATGCAGCTTCAGCACAGGACAGTACACAGCAGAAAGTTACATGGGAAGGGAAGCTTAACGGTAGCTTAGAGGGGCAAGGGGTACCGGATGACAGCTCCACGGAAAGTTTTGTGTGTTCCAGCGGTCCTCACATTCCATATTTCGGAACGCCTCCATTTCTGCAGGGCCGGCCGTAACAGACGAGATCTACATCGGGGCACTGAATTATACGAAGGGGTTCTCCTGGCACTTGTTTTTCTTGCCCCTTTTCACCCCTCATACACACAGTCGTCTTCTCAGTGCCATTTGGCAGCCTGCTTATTATTTGAGCGGCAACCCATTTAACCGGCTTTGACGTCGGCAGCATCATGGGTGCTTCTATTCGGTCATCGTCCGAAACGCACATGATTCTGTGGCATGTGCTTCCATGTGTGGATCTCCGGGAGAGCGTCAACATCTTATTTACACAGCTGTTCCAGTTACGCAACGCATGGCGCATTAAAGCACAATAAGGAACTTCGCATTTCAGCAAAAATACGTTGCATAAAGCTTGAGTGCTCTGAGACCAAGGAAATACCCTTGTGCGTGCATCAAACACCTCCACAGCCTGCGGTGCCAACTGTTCTATCACCTCACTATTCGTATTCGGAGTCGTTCACGAAAGTCCTCTGCAATGCTTCGGCTGTTGTGAGGGCCACTCCCCCATTGAGCTTCCCTCTTTCTGAGACGCCAAATGAATGGTGAATTTCTTCCATATGCTTTTTGCTGTAAGCCCGAGAAGGCAAATTGACGGTGTCAGCACGGGAACGGCATCCGGAGTTGCCTTGTACTTCTAATTTTGTACTGAAAGCACGCTTACCATAGCAACAACACTACCGCCGGAACGTGTCGAATGGCCAGGGAAAGGCATTCGCATCGAATATGGGACAGTTTGCAGTAATCTGAAAGCATCTGGTGCACCGTAATCCTTACCCTGGAGTTCCTGTCGACCAAATGGCATCAGTCAAATACCATCCTGTATCCTCCATTGCAGCCAGCAGCCACTCAGTGGGAAGCTCTTCTGAAACAAAACACAATTTAGGGCGTCTTAATCACTGTATCCAACACCAACTTTTATGCTCGCTTCGACGCGGGAATAAGAGGGTGAAACATTTGGCTGACCTCGCCGGCGATAGCCGGCTTCCTGTACTTCACGCCCATAGACTGGCCCGAAAACTGCAGACAGCAGAATATGAGATGAACAAAATGGCCGTCAACCAACACCTTACCAAACCGTCGTCTGAGGCTTAATACCAGCTATCTCAAAACCAATGTGCAAGATATCCAGGAATTGAAGTGTTGCCAATGTTACGGGCAACTGGGGCAAAAATCGCTAGCTGAAGTTTCCCACAAGCAGTGCATCTGCAAGAGTAGACGATATACAATGAACAAATGGACTGTAGTAGGAAACTAACTCTAGGCTTTACCACGCCTGCCTTTTGTCCACAAAAAAGCAACGTACTCACAGCTTGGGCCTGACTTATCTAGAGCGACTTCCAAGCCAGGCACATCACTGTAGCCGCAGTGACGATGAATGGCATTCACTACCCCAGGAGTTGTAAGAAAAAAACGGTGTTGCGGGTGCTGCTTCATTTCTTTCATTGGGGAAGTTTCCGTTGCGTGTAACGCTCCATCCCTTTGGATTCCTGGAGTTGCTGTAGCCGGCATCGACACTTGTGTTAGCGCGTGAAACAGAACGGTTGACCCCGGTTCATCGGCATTACGAAGCCTCCTGTGGGAAGGAGCAGCGCAGCCGATAACATTGTGCTCTTCTGAAACTGGATGGAGCCCTTCTTCGTAGGTACCATTCAAAAATCCAAAAGTCCACGTTCTGCGAGTAGAGAGCGTGCCCTCGGCAAGCCACAGCCTAGTGCCACACTTTTCAAAGAGTAGTCAGGCAAAATAACTGGGCCTTTACGAAGCTTGCCTCAGTGCTTCTCGTCTCCATGTTGGGTCCCACGTTGCGAAAAAACGCAGTGTTTGTACGTTGACAGCAATCGCATTGATAATGTGCGCAAGAACTCTTTCCACAGCTTGAGAGAAGGAATCTTTCCTACTAACATAAAACCCTTCGACCTCGGCATACGGAATGGACATGCACACGAGAATTGGACGGTAGTTTTCGTCAACTTGACAAACATCTGCAGACAGAGTACACCCCTGTTTCGAAGCGATAGAGTTACTGAGCATGCTGCCTTCGTCCAGGGGGGCTGAGCGCTCCACACTGCAACTCCCCGGTTCATTACAATGCAAGAGTAAGAATATGCTGTTGCGTAGTGCGTTCTAGAGTTGGAGTCCAGCATTTGCACGCAACTGGCTATAGCAAAAAAGCCACTGTGTATCCTTGCAAGATGTATTCATCGAAGAAGGCCTACGACTGCTTGCTTCTGAATTATTTGCTGTACTGAACAACAACAAGACGTCCGCGTCTTTAACAATCCCATGTGACGGAATTCCCGTCGCAGTTTGCAGACGCCGAAGCGGGGGCAGTTTGCACACGCCACACTTCTCTATTTTATTCAACCTGCACAGGAAGTCTCCAATATTATTCGTGTTGACACATTCAGAAATGTACAGGGCAACATTACCGTGCATGATTTAGTGATCAGGAGCTTAAAAGCCCGCTTGCTCTGCACTGGATTGTCTGCACTCGTACTTCTCGTTCTTTTCATCAGAAAGCTTGATTAGCAATGGTCCAAGCAGTCGATCAACAGTAACGATCCGCTGAAGCCACCAGATGGCAGAGGGTACGACTTCAACTTGGAAGAAACGACGCACGTCTTTGAACCGCTCGGCAGTGTTGTGCCTCTCTTTGGCTGCATTGTTGCCGTCGCTGGAATGAACGGAGTTATCGATTGATTGTACTTCAAGTGAGGAACCGCTTGATGCAGCGATGCGCCTCCCCGCTACATCTCTTGCCGCCAATGCATGCAGCCGCTGGACGCTCAGACTGTGTGAGACATTACCCTCCAGCAAGTGAGGAAAGTCAGAAAAGAAGGTTTGCACCCGTAGAGGAAGAAAGACTCCCCCACGCCCGCTCGATTGGGGCACCTGAGTGAAGCTAGGGATACTTATGGACTGACGTTCAACTAAAACGGGTGTCCTTGAGCTCGTTCCGCCAGGTATCCCGCTGCGCTTGTGAGAGTTGGTCATCTCCTGCTGTAGTTGCGCAGGTATCTTGAAGGGGATGCTCGCTAGCCGCCGGCGTCTACGAGAGGATCGAAAGCCAAGAGCTGACCTTTGCTGTGCCACTCCATAAGCTCTACTGAGCCAGTCATTCTGTGCGTCAGCTACGCGATGGCGATCCGGCAAAGCGCCGTGCAAAGTGTAAATTTGGCAGAGATACTTCGACTGGGAGCAAACAGGTATCGGGTCCTGTTCCTGTTGATTCCTCTGTTCCTCGATAGCCCTTAAGGCGCGCACTGCTGGTGAAGAAGGATTTAACAGTTTCAGTGTATGGGCCAAAGCCCCTGATGCTGTGGGTGTCAGTCTTTCAGGGCCGCCTTCTACCGATACATCAGCTGCTCCCGCGAGGAGCGGTCCGGCTGCAGGCCATGAACTCCCCAAAAGAAACACAAAATAGGCAAACAGTGAAAGAAGCATGCTCCGAACAGAGCGCCACCGTTGCCCTACCTTCGCCACAGTGGCAACCTTGTGCGGAGCCCAGTTCGTGCAGTCACCCATTTGCTGCGCCGGAAGAGATTAGTAGTTTGCGAGGCTCTCAGCTATCGAGCGAATCACCTACCGACACCAAGGTACTCTTCCAATGGAGTATATATGCTGGCGCATACCCAATACAGGTGACGTTCCTCTGGAGTTTTTCGTGTTGCCGTTACTCTCTCATATTGCACGTTACCCCTAACGAATCTAAACAACGTACCCTATATATCTTCTAAATCGCTATCATGCTGTAGAAGAGCACGCATGGCACGCGTCTGCCGCACATCTACATAGGGAACTACCAGAGCGTAAGGTTGCTCGTTCTGACCAGCCGGCACCAACCTTCGTCGCAACCTGCCGCAACTGCGCGCAGTGCGACTTCCTAGAGTCGCGTCAATAAAGCCACTAGAGATGGTAACTCCCTGCCTACATTGTTTGCACATGACGTGAAAAGCGGCTTATCAGACAGATACGCCCCGACAAAACGGTGCAACCCCACCTACACCGAGTTCCCCGGCAAAGGATTTATGACTGATAGGAGAGGTACTTTAATCAGCGCGGGCGACGGGCAAACCGAAGG